CCCAGCCAGTGTGGTTTAGTGGATTGAGCATCGTCTCATGTGAGAGGTTCCCATTTCGATTCTCAGTCAGGGTACATGCCTGGGTTGTGGTCTCCATCCCCAGTGGGGCCATGCAGGAGGCAGCCAATCAATGTATCTCTCTCACATCAACATTTCTCTCTCTCCCTCCCTTCCTCTCTCTCAAAAAAAATCAAAAACATTTTTAAAAATTTTAAAAGGATGCCCTGGCTGGTATGGCTCAGCAGTTAGAGATATTCCCGCAGACCAAAGAGTCTCAGGTCCAATTCCAGTCAAGGACACGTACCTGGGTAGTGGTATAATCTGAGGCCCTGGTTGGGGTCATGCAGGAGGCAACCAATCAATGTGTCTCTCTCACATCGATGTTTCTCTCTCTCCCTCCCTTCCTTTCTCCCATTCTATCTGAAAATCAATGGGAAAACATCCTCAAGTGAGGATTAAAAAAAAAGAAATACACCTCTAATAAAACACTAGACATTTATTAACAGCTCCAAATTTACTCCACAGGCCCTCTGCAACAAAAGCAGGTGAACTCAAGACTAGATGGCCCAGATAAGTTTTGGTGGGCTTTGAATTGTTTCTGGAGCCATACCTCTGGCCCTGTAAGGACTGCATTGTAAAACAAGGTCTATTTATTTATTTACCTACCTATTTATTTATTTATACAAATACCTCAACAATGGATCGACAAATCCATTCACTCATTTTTGGAATGTTTCTTCTCATTTGGGTACTTTTTTTTTTTTTAGTTTGCAGATACCACATAGCTTAGGGTCGCTTCTGAGAGCCATGAAGTCTTGGATACATGGAATCCCTGTCTGTCTCCCTTGGGAATGATAAACAGGTTTAGCTATAGCTTTAGCTAAATAATTTCCTTTTACTTCCATGGTGGCAGCTGTCGAGTGTCCTGTAATTTTGATAATTGACAATTGTTTAAATTTTTTGTGTGACATCTAACAATTCTACAACCTCTTTTTCATTCTTTATGGGCTGCCTTAGAAAATTAAGAAGCCTTGCTTCTTCCACAACATTCTAAGGTTGTGAGCTACACAAAGACATAGCTATTATGTTGGCCCCTTTTCTGTCTACACTTAGGACAAACAACATAACAAACAGAGACAAAAAAAGGAAACAAAGAAGCACAATTAAATGAGTACCTTTTGGGGGAATACAGCATTCTTTTGCTGCCAAGGAAGGCATCATAACACATGCCAGTACCTGGGGTAACCACCCTCATCCTTGAAGGAAAAACCTTATCTCAGAGAAAATCATTTGACCTCAATCAAAAAAGGAGGGAGGTCCAAACATAACAGGGCTTCACAGTCGATTAGACAACAGTCCATGGATACAGTGGGTACAAAAGAGGCTTTATTGGTACTGCACTCAGTACCAGGGATTCTGGACATGACGGTGAGATCCATTTAGATCCTGTTTGTGATATCAGATATGCTAACCTAAAAATGAAAGGCCTTTCAAAGTAAGAAGCAATAAGCATCAAAGAATAGCTATTCTGGAATCACTGATTCAGGTGGAAACCCAAATAGTGTTTTGATTAGGAGACAAAGGCAAAGGGTATTTGTGAGAAAGTGAAGGGGAACAATTGCATCAATAGAACAAAGGCATTTCTATTGATGTGGATAACATCACAGTGATGTTAATCCTAAACACTGTTTTTAATTTTCAGTCTAATAGTTATCAGTCCAGTAGTAATAATAACTGCTTTCTTGATAGCTTTGCAGGCAGCTCTTTGGGGCACAGTGATGCTTAAGCCCATTCTAAAGGTTATTTTGCCCTGTTTTAACACTTCAAAGATTTGAGGAATAAGACTTGCAAGGCAGTTTCAGCTCCATTTTAAAATAGCTCCATTTTAGCCCTGGCCGGTTTGGCTCAGCGGTTAGAGTGTCGGCCTGCGGTCCCGAGAGACCTGGGTTCGGTTCCCACTAAGGGCATGTACCTCGGTTGCAGTTTGTCCCCGGCCCTGGTTGGTCGTGCGGGTGGCAGCCACTCGATGTGTCCCTTTCACATCGATGTTTCTCTCTCTCTTCCTCTCTCTCCCTCCCACTCTACCTGAACAAAAAATAGAAAAATGTCCTCAGGTGAGGATAAAAAAATAAAAAAATAAATAATAAAATAAAATAAAATAGCTCCATTTTAAAATGGCTCCATTTATTATATTTTTTTAATATGGTTGATTAAGTCATTGGCCAATGGTGATTGGGTTCAATCTCCAGCCCCTCCCTGCAGGGTGGGGACTGGAACTTCTAACCCCCCTTCACATGATTGAGTCTCTTGGCATCCAACCCCCATCCTCAAATGGGGTCAAAGGTCACCTCATTAGCATAACAAGACACCTTTGAAGTTCTCAGCACAAGGAATTCATAGCAATTTAGGAGCTCTGTGCCAGAAATGAATGAAGACCAAATATGTATTTAATATACATCATAATATTGCAACTGCCCTGGCCTGAAAGGGGGTTTTCTTCCACTCCTCCTCCTTCTCTCCATTGTCCCCCTCAGAAAGTCATCCCTCATTAAAGTCATACTCTGTGTCAGGCAACATATGAATGCTTACAAGGACTATCTTCTCTCACCCTGACAACACCTCTGACAGAGTGGGCTGCTCTGACTCCATGCTACAAATGTGGAAACAAACTCAGAGTTCCTTTAAGACTACATGACTAGGAAATGACAGATATAATGCTTTCAGCTCAGACTTCTATGCCTTAAAAGATCAATTTTTCCCCCAGTTTAGCATGTTCCCTTCCTTTGTTAATTTTTTCCCTCAGAAATCATTAAAATAAAAATGATCATATTCATTTTATCGATTGTTTTTCATTCTGCTCACTGAGTACAGTACCAACAAAAATGATTCAAAGGGCGTAAGATCATATAAATCAATAAAACCAAAGCTTGTTAACTTCTATCAATACATTCAAAAATGATGCATGAACCGCTGCTCTGTAGCCCCTTCATGGTGTAGAGCCCCTGCCCTTAGAGGTTCTAGTAAGATAAGTCAGAAATAGAAGAGAAAAAGGAGAAGAAGGGGGTTTCTCCAGAGGTGGTGATAGGAGGATCTTGAGGTGAGAATTGGCTGTGAGCTTCCTGGCAGCCAGGGCAAAGAGGAAAACAATGTTATGACGCACTAGGATGGCACGGGGAGCAGACCAGCTCAGAGGAGAGGTCATTTTCTTTGCTAACCTAGGAAAGCTGTGGGTGTGGATGTTGGTATGAAAGTGGCCTTAGATCATCGACATGCAGGGGCTGCTCTCTTTCCAGCTTCTGTGGTCCTGTGAATGGTGTGCTGCCAGGGCTTCAAAGAGTAAAAGAACTTGAATTTTTACTCCCTCTACCCGGTGACCCTGGGCAAAGTAATGTCCCCACTCAGTGTGGAATAATTTTTTTTTTTTTTATCCTCACCCGAGGACATTTTTCCATTTTTTGTTCAGGTAGAGTGGGAGGGAGAGAGAGGAACAGAGAGAGAGAGAGAGAAACATCGATGTGAAAGGAACACATCGAGTGGCTGCCACCCGCACAACCGACCAGGGCCGGGGACAAACTGCAACCGAGGTACGCGCCCTTAGCGGGAACCGAACCCAGGTCTCTCAGGACCGCAGGCCGATGCTCTAACCGCTGAGCCAAACCGGCCAGGGCGAGTGTGGAATAATTTTTGCCACTGGAGTGGACAGTATTGAAAGTATTTGTTGAGAGGGTTACTGGATGGGGTCTGGGCCCAGAGCAGGTCTACCTTGGGCCCACTGGTAGTATTTGGGATTTTGACTTCATGTAGGAAAAATTTTATAACATAAGTCCACGTGACTTTGACAGTATGTTTATTAAAGCTGGGGGCAATGAAACAAAGGAAGGACAAAGATAGAAGAAGCAGCAGAAGAGAGAAAGAGAAAAAGGGATCTTGGAGACAGGTTCAGGGGTTATGCCTGGGACAAGCTGCCACTGCCTGCTACTCTACTGTTTGCAAGTCTTGTGGGGTCCCTTAGAGTTTAGGAGAAAAGAAGCAGAGATACAAGGTGTGGGAATGCTCTAGCAAGAGTGCTGTTAACTCCTTTGTCTTGAGACTTTTCATCTTTCTTTAGCTGGTGGGAATCCTAGGGGAGATCTCAGAGGAGGGTCTTAACAGAATATGCATTTGTTTTTCAGGTGTGTCCTTCAATATGTTGATTCATCAAAATGTGTATATAAAGAGGTCAGGGTTTATTTTCCAGTTAATTTTATTTTTAAACAACATCATCAAAGAGGAACCAGGACCGAGGCTGTTCTGTCCCAGTACAGTTTGGAGCGTGTAAACCATTTGCTCCTAAGTGTCCTTAATTAGGAAAGATAAAACCTTGTGATTCGTTAGCTGGCTGTTAATTGCTCAAATATAATTGCTCTAATTATATTGTCTTAGTTTCCCTTCTTCCACTTTTCAAGGAATTTGCCTAGCTTCTTACTATTCTGCCACAAGAGAATGAAGGCAAAATTATATCTACCAATTCTTGTCACCTCCTGTCTAGACACCTGAAGACAGACTAAAGAGTACATTGTGTTGCTGAGGGCAATGTGAAGTCTGGGGCATCCAGGCCTAAGCTGTGGGTGGAAGCCCTGGAGGGGCCTATGCAGGAGCTGCACCATGTGGCCCTAGGGCAAAGGGCAAAGACCAGGTCTAAGTTACAGCCCTCAGGACAGAAACATTTATTTTTAAGGCCAGCTTGCCAAACCAGGACAGTCTCAGGATGTGGTTCTGTTTAGGCTGTGCAGAGCCTGCTGAAGTCATACTGTCTAGATGAGTGAATAAGTAAGGGGAAGTAGCTGTTCTCAGGTGGGCACATGAAAGCTTGAAAGCTCCATCTTTTCCCCCTGCATTGGGAACTGCTAAGAAGGGATGCCCAAAGAACAGGTGCTAATGCTCTGGGGGCACAGGTCAGGCCAGAGCCCGAGTGGGAAGGGGGTCTCAGTGTACACTGCAACCTCCCTTCCCCCTCACAGAAGGTGGGTTGTGATGGAGTGATCGGCTCCAGCAAGCAAGAAGACAAGTGCGGTGTGTGTGGAGGGGACAACACCCACTGCAAAGTGGTCAAGGGCATGTTCACACGCTCACCTAAGAAGCTAGGTAAGTGAGCCCCTCCCTCTGGCCTTGGGGCCTGAATATCTACAGTACCTGCTGGGTAGACAGACGTGGGCTGGACTTGTCCTTGGGGCTATGTCTAGGTTCATGACTGTCCTGGGGGGAAGGGATCTGGAAAGGTGAATTGGTGGGAGAACCCAAGTCAGAACAGCTTGAGCCAGGCTACAGGGTGGGTGGGGGACAGGGAGAGTGGGGGCCAGAGTGAGGGGCTAGGGCAGAGAATGCCAGAATATAGGTGCACAGGGTGGGTTCAAATGTCTATTTGAAGGCAGGAGTCTGTCGTAGTCACCCCTCCCCTGCCTTCTAGGGCTGTGAGGCAGCTGTGGTTCCCTTGCTCAGTGTCCCTTAGCCCCTGCCCTCAGCTGGCTGTCAGCAGGATTTCTTTGCATTGCCAAGCACAGGTTGCTGCCTCTGGGTGGGCGGTCAAGGCCTCTGGAGCTGCCTTCGAGGACAAGGCCCTCTATGCCTTGTCTGCACCCCTGTGACCCCTCTCCTCTGATTTGGCTTTGTCTCCCCACATCCTAACAAAGGTTACATTAAGATGTTTGAGATCCCTGCAGGAGCCAGACACCTGCTCATCCAGGAGGCAGACACTACCAGCCATCACCTGGGTGAGTCCTGCAGCCCAGGAATGCAGCAGATCCACAGCCTGGCTCTTCTGGGTATGGGCAGAGCCCCCAGGGGTCAGAGGCCCAACTGATGGGCCCCACCTTCCTGTCCCTGGCTCAGCCGATGTTACGGACCTTTTCTAGATTCACCTCTTGGTAGAGAAGCCATGTGTTTGGATCAGAGGGCTCCTGCAGCAGCTGTGGAGGGAATATGTGTCACACAGATCCAGCCCACAGGATGACTCCCCATCTCAAGGCTAAGGGGGACTGACCCCCCTACCCAATGGAAGGCAGGAAGATCTGCCAGCAGTAGAGCCCTGAGTAGCCTCCCCCAAACCAACCAGAGGACCGGAGGCAGGCCGGAGGATGACCTCATACAGTGTATTTGCATATTTTCCATTAGTGTAATTTTAAATTCCTGAGATTCTATCTGGAGTAGAGATGTCTGGCCACTCTTGAAATGTTGGATGTTCCAACAACTTTGGGTGCCCCTTCCTACATGGCAACCCTCTTCCAGTGGGACTCTGCTCCCCAAAGCTGACTGAGACTCCTTACAGGGGCTCCACCCATCCTCACCCTCTCCCTGCAAAGGCATCTGGGCCCAACCTTCGGGGGGGGGGGGGGGTCATGGGGCCTGAAAGTGATGCAGGAGGTTGTTGAGGGTATCCTGGACAAGTTCCTTCCCCCATTTTGGGGCCAATCTTCTTCCTTGTCTGTGGAGGTCAGACTGGCTCAGGACCTCACCATCATCCCTGCTGACACATGACAAAGACCACTGTCTTTTAATACTCATTTTTCTTACTTTAAGAAGAAATTTTATATTGCTACCCAAAATGCAAAACCAGTACCACTTGCCTTAAATAGAAGGCAAATATAAAAGTCAGTTACTGAAAAAAAAGAACGGCTAAAGATTCCAGGTCCCAAGTCGTCTCCCTCTCTGCAGTAGACAAGAGAGTCAGTGACAAGTTGAGGACCTATGGCTCCTACTGAGGCTCACTTTGTGATGTGGACAGAGAGTTAAAGAAGAATTATGTAGGGATTTATTTCCTCAACCTGTGCCCTGTCTGTGGGCTCCCTAAAATCATTGAGCAACTCCCCAGTACCTCCTTCCACACTATGAGAAGTGTGGGTTCTCAGCTCCTAGACATTCTTTGCAGATGCCCAGTGGCCTGAGTGGTCCCCTCAGTCAGGCCAAGCCTCTTCAGGGGATGAGGGGAACTGGTGGGGCACCAGGCTGGGCCATTGCTATGGATGGAGTGGGGAGACCCTGCTTTTCAGGTGGACATATGCTCACTCCATGGCAGGAAGCCCCCACACCAGCCCTGTGTCCTATTGCCCAGCAGATGCCCTGTACCCTGCGGGTTGGGGCGGGGCAGGCAGGGGCTCTTGAGTGCCTGCTGAGTGCTCCAAGTGTACAGTAGGGAGGTAGCCTTGATAGCCATTGAACCACTTCTGAGCAGAGCTCCTGCCCCCCAGGGCCTGTGGGGGCAGGTCTGGGAAAGGACCTTGGGCCTGGAAGAAAGGTATGAGTTACGGCTGAAAAGGGTGAACCGGGCTCTCAGGTGATTCGGGCTGTCCGGCAGGGACACTCGCTGCACCTGCCCAAACCAGTGGGCCCCATCAACCTCCCCCCAAGCATGCCTGGATCTTGCCCCTGGTAATTATGGTGGGGGGGTCCCTTTTGCCATTTTCAGCCATCAAGAACTTGGAGACAGGCAAGTTCATTTTAAATGAAGAGAACGATATAGATCCAGATTCCAAATCATTCATCGCCATGGGTGTGGAGTGGGAGTACCGGGATGAAGATGGCCGAGAGACGGTGCAGACCATGGGCCCCCTTCATGGTACCATCGCTGTGCTGGTAAGTCCCCAGGCCAGGGGGCAAGTGGCCACTGAGTAAGGGATGGAGCCTCCTGCATCCTTCAGGCCATGCTTGGAACAGCCTCTCTGGCCTGTTCTTTGGACCAAGAATCTCCATCTGTGTGTCAGAGTGAGGAACAGACATGGAGCTGCCTGTCAGGGCTCTGGGCCCTGTGTTGCACCCACGTGACCTCAGGCACTTTCCCCTGTTAGGGTTTTGGCTTCCAGGCTGAGTGACATTTATAACCACCTGTCATCATGCTCCTTCACATCTGCCATCAAATCCCAACTGCACCACATCCTGGAAGTGACAGATGGGGCTCAGGATGTTAGACCACCAGACCCAGCTTACACTGGACTTTGTCCCTGAGCAGGACTGGACCCCAGGTCCCCTGAGTTCAAGACCACAGGCTGCTCCTGGTTATGAGAGTACAAGAGAGGGCTTGATTTTCTAATCACATTTTAAAAATTAATTTTAAATGCATAACTAATATATTTGATCTGTAAAAAAAATCAAAACACTACAGATAAGGCTAAGGTGAGCTCACTATGGTGGGGGGTAGGCACCCAGACCCCAGCATCCCCTTCCAGAGAATGCGTTCTTTGCTTCACTTGCAGGGACTTACACCCCCAATTGCTCTTGGTGACCTGCCTGCCAGTGCATGTGCAGGTGGGCCTCAGGACCTGCAGTTTCTGTATTGGTAAATTTGCCTATTTGCTAAAATGTATCTGTAATGACAGCTATTTGCATACAAATGCAGAGCAGTGAAAAATATTTTGCTTTGACATGTGTGTCCCAGCTGAGGTGGAGCCAGGTGACACTTTGCTTCTTGTTTTAGCTATTACTGTAAACAAGTGTCCTTTTCACTGTGTAGTAAGTGCCACATTTTTCACATTTTTGTGCTTTAATAGAATGATTTCACTGTTCAGGCATAATGCCAAAGCACTTTGTGCTGTTCCCAAGGGAGAGAAGCTATGGGGTGCCCTATGGAGCTAGTGCAGCGTGTTAGAGGAGCTTCCTTCAAGGCCTGAGTTACAATAAAGTGGCCAGAAGTCAGATGGCAGGGAGTGAAAACATACATTAAGTAAGGTGTCTTTATATAGAAAACATATAAAATAAGGTTACATATTTATGGCTGATGAAAATATCATGACCCTAACTCTATGATCCCTGAAAGCAGCGGTTCAGTATTGGGAACTTTGTAGAACATAAGGACCTACCGCGAATAATGAGACTGGGCTGTAAGTGTGTGTCTGACATTCCTAAACTGACTTGGAGAGTTGGGCAGACACATTCACGGCCATGTGGGGGCACAGGTTATCCCACAGGGAGACACCCGGATCTCGCTGACGTACAAGTACATGATCCATGAGGACTCACTCAATGTGGACAACAACCAGGTCCTGGAAGATGACTCCATAGGCTACGAGTGGGCCCTGAAGAAGTGGTCTCTGTGCTCCAAGCCCTGTGGCGGAGGTGAGGGGGCTTCTCAGGGTTGGGACCCCAGATGAAGCCTGGGCCTGAATGAGAAGGATCTTCTGGGTTATGGGTTTCCTGAGCTCCCAGTGCCTACTTACTGCCTGGCCAGAGGCATGTGCCATGCATGAGAAGACTGGCCAGAGAGGCTGAGGCAGTGATCTGTGTCTGGATGACAAAGGCCTAGTCCTGCCTGGGAGGGAGCAGAGGGTAAGCAGAAGGGGGGTCTTCAGGGCAAGAGGCCAAAGGCAGCCAGAGAGCATGTGTGGGGCTTTGTCAATGCCAGCATGAACTTACATCAGTGTGGGAGGCAGGAGCTGGCCTGGCAAGAGGTTGCTGTGACAGTGGCTTGGATGGGTTACTATGGCATTACGAGGCAGGGCACAGGAAGATGTGGGCTGTGCTGGAGATGGGTAGAGGCACCCTCTCTGCAGGGGTTCCTCCCTGTGTTCATTCAGAAAGTCCTCCCAGATCTTCCTGGGGCAGTGCTGGCTGCAGAGGGGTTCCTCCTGCCCCAGACCTCAAGGAGTCCACAGTTGGGTGGGACATGCAGGTATACAAGAAGTTCCGATTTACACAGTGGTCACTGCTCCTGGGAGGTGAATGAGAGATCAGAGGCAGAAGAAGACAGTTCAGCCTGCAGGAGCAGGTGGCCAGGACAGACCTCCCTCAGATGCCAAAAAGGTGTTCGCTGAGGGGCTGGGTCACTTACTCCCCAGCACTGACAGATAGAAAGCTTCTCTTCTTTCCAGTGCTTCCATCTAGGTAATGGTATCCCTAGCCTCCTGTTGAGCTTCCCCAACTGCCATGGATTTCATCTGTGTGTTCTGTTGATTCTTGCTTCTACATATCTCTAGGACTCATCTGCTAGGCCCATCTTCCAAGCCCTGGCATATCCCCCTCGCTCTCTCCCTGGCCCTTGTGTGTTCACTTACACCCAGAGTGACGTATTAAAGGGAAAAATCGACCATGTCCCTCCTTGGTGTTATAGCCTTCAGTAGCTCCCTCTGCTCTTAGGATAAAAAACAATTCTCCTCATTGCCTCCAAGGTCCAAGGAACTTGCTGACCTCTCCCACTGCTCACCAAGTCCTGGTCACCCTGGCTTTAGGTGCTTCTCCTCAACATGCCTTGCTCCTGCCTCAGGCTATTTACATAGGTTGTCTCCTCCCCTGGGAGCCCCTCCATTGCCTTCTGACTAAGCAAATACCCACCCCCTACCCGTCTACTTTCTATGACGTCTCCAGATGCTCAGACTAGATCAAGCTGCCCCATCATATTCTCTCATGTGTTGTCTACTAACCTGGGGCTTTGTGACCCTGGCACTGCTGACACCTTGGTCTCTATAATTTTTTGTTGAGGAGCTGTCCTGTGTATTGTAGGATGTTAAGCAACACTCCCAGCTAATGCCCATAGAACCCCTCCCGCCATTGTGACAACTACGTGTTCCAGACATTTTCAGAAGTCCTTGCATACAAAATCACCCCCAGCTGAGGACTGCTGCACTGGACAGTGAGAGGAAACTTGCAGAATGTGTTCCCATGTTTAGCCAACTCCTGAGTCATGCCAGGTCCTCAGTGCATTTTAATTTTAGGGGCAGGAGAGGAAACAAATCCTTCCCTCTTGCCCCAGGAGACTAGCCAAGGGACCAGGAAGAATGTGGTCACTCTCTCTGGCCTCTCACCCTCACTCGGCCTAGGGTGCTGGGAGGACACCAGGATAGATATTTCCAAGCCTGGCTTGGGCACACTATCCCACCCCATCAGAAATTTGAGAAGGTAGGGCTGAAGCTGTAGGTGAATCTGCTTCATTTGAGCCCTGTAGAGGGGCCACACCACCCCACTGAGCCCCCTTGAGCTCTTATCTTCAGGGTTCCAGTTCACCAAGTATGGCTGCCGTCGAAGGCTGGACCTCAAGATGGTGCACAGAGGCTTCTGCGACGCCCTCATGAAGCCCAAAGCCATCCGCCGGGCTTGCAACCCACAGGAGTGCTCCCAGCCTGTGTAAGTGCCTGGGGCTGCCCAGCTCCCTGTCCCCCAGCCTCTGGGTCCCACTAGAGCAGTCGTTCTCAACCTTCCTAATGCCGCGACCCTTTAATACAGTTCCTCATGTTGTGGTGACCCCCGACCATAAAATTATTTTTGTTGATACTTCATAACTGTAATTTTGTTACTGTTATGAATCACCATCAGAAATATGTGTTTTCCGATGGTCTTAGGCAACCCCTGTGAAAGAGTCGTTCGACCCCGAAGGGGTCGCAACCCACAGGTTGAGAACCACTGTACTAGAGGGAGTAGAGGACAGATATCCCAGGGCTTCAGTGGAGGGAGGTGTGGGATCTGCCCTCCGCCCCCAGTGGATCCAGGCTTCATATTACCCTAGATGTTTTATGGATTCCTTGTCATTCACCGTTTTGTGGAGTCTAAGACGTGCACCCCTGCTTCAGACTTGCAAAGCTGAAACACTGTGCATTTTAGAGATTACAAGTGGTAATGCTCAGAAGAGGAGACAGAGGCTCATGGTACAGGGCTGAATTCTGGTCCTGTGCGGGGTGTTTCCAAGACAGGCCATAGAAGTGGCTGTATCCTTGACCTTTAGCCCCATGGCCTGGTGGAACCGCATGTCTGGGCCTGAGCAGAGAAGACAGTTGGTACTAGGTGGGGGCATACTTGGTCAGCTGCTGAGGGAGCTGACACTGCTCTCCAGAAGGGTCGGTGATGTCAGCAGAAGCTGAAGTCAAAGGGCAGAGCCAGAGCCAGAGCCAGACAAGGGACAGAGACTGACAGGGTCCCTCAGGCCTAGGCTGTCCATGGCCACCACCACCACCAGGGCTCCCAGCAATGGATATGTGTAGGGTTCATTATTTGCAGAACCTCAGGCAGAGGCACAGCAAGCACCTTTGTAAGAATAGAGAAAGCCATACCTGGGATAGCAGGAGGCCTTCTCTCTGCCCACTGACACCATAGAGAGACTGACTGTGTGCCACTCTGCCCTGGCAGATGGGTCGTGGGTGAATGGGAGCCATGCAGTCAGAGCTGTGGGCGGACAGGCACCCAGGTTCGCTCTGTGCGCTGTGTTCAGCTGCTGCACGACAACACCACCCGCTCAATGCACACTAAGCACTGCAACGATGCTCGGCCCGAGGGCCGCCGGGCCTGCAACCGAGAGCTCTGTCCTGGTAGGTGGCGGGCTGGACCCTGGTCTCAGGTAAGTAGGCCCCCTGGCCCTGTGTTCTTGACCCCCAAACCAATCTTGGGTGAGACTGAGGTGGCTGGGGCATCCTGCCTTTGTCTGGATTCAGTTTTTCCCCTGGGCCACATCCTGTAGGTCTCAGGGCATCAATGGTGCCATGCAACCAATGCTCTGTTTAAAATTCAGTGGAATGTGTGTTCTTGGAGCTGGGGCTCCCATGTGCAATAGGCACTTGGAATCCCAGGAGACTTGAGGGCAGCCTAGCCTCCAGGTTACTCAGAAGGCCCAGGTTCTTATCTCTGAAGGTGGATGTGTGGTCGAAGGCTGGCCAAGCAGGAGAGGACACAAACAAAGGAGGGCTTAGACTTGGGCTAGAAACAGTAATGTGGATGGTCTCCGGGACTGAGCAGCAGTTCTGGAGAAAGGGCTGAGCTGATATGAGCATTGACCTCCAGCTCATAGCCACATTCAGCCTTGGGGTCCATAATTTACTAGAAGCATCATGGCACTCAGAGGTTGGTATACTCATGGTTATGGGTTATTACAAGGAGAGCTCAGAGTAAAATTAGGGTAGGGAAGAAGGGCACGGCAAAGGCCAGAGGAAGCCAGTGCATGCCTCCAGGTGTCCCTTCCAGTGGGCTCACAGTGGATGCACCTGATTCTCCCTGCAATAAAGTGCAATAACACATATGAAGTACTGCTAACCAGGAAACACACCAAGGCTGGCTGTCCAGGGTTTTTACTGGGGATCAGTCACATAGGCAAACAGTGCCGGTATATGTGATGATGTCAGTTACTGAAGCTCCAGACCCCAGTGGGATAGCAGGTGCTGCTCAGCAGACATTATGTTGTCGGTGCAGTGTAACTCAAGGCCTCAGGCATGAAAAACATTCTTACCAGACAGAACATTCCATGGACTTGGTTTCCAGGAGATGCCCAAGGGCCAGTCCTGCAAATAGGCCTTTCTTGGGATTGCATAGGGTTTGAGCAACCAGGTCTGCTGAGTCAACCCTTTCTCACACACAGGGCAAAAACTTGAGAATCATCCTTGCTCAGGGCTGGGCCAGTTGTAAGCCAAACCAAGAGTTTGGGTGTGACTTCTCCTGCTGGCCCCTCCCATAAAGAAGGCAGAGGAGTACTGGGGCTGGAGGGGCCATCAAGGGTTCTGGTAGTATAAAGCCTTGTGGGCAGGGACAGAGGTGGAAGAAAGGTCAGAGGGAATAGTCCTCTGCCAAAACCTCCTGGACTCAGCTTTCCCTGTGGTCCCCAGTACACAGCAGGATTTTCTGGGTCTCAGGCCTCCTGTAGCCAGAGCATTCCCAAATGTCAGGCCCTGCACAGTCACTCTCTTTAACTCACAATAACTGAGACATAAGCATGTGTGTCCCCTCTTCAGAGCCCAAGGAAACTGAGGTAGCCACCTAAAGCTGGGGTGAAGATGAGCTGGCCTCTAGTCCATACTCTCCCCGTCCCTCTCCACCTCTCACATGTTATGAGGGTACATGCGTGGGAGGCTCTTCCAGGCCTTCAGCAGGGGAAGTGGGCCCTGACTGGTGATTCTCCACCTGCAGTGCTCTGTAACCTGCGGCAATGGCACCCAGGAGCGGCCGGTGCTCTGCCGCACAACAGATGACAGCTTTGGGATCTGCCAGGAGGAGCGACCTGAGACAGCAAGGATCTGCAAGCTGGGCTCCTGTCCAGGTAAGCCCTCTGCTGCTCTGTTCTCTGGGCCTCACTACACAAGCCCAAGGCCAGGGGGTTGGTCCAGGCAAATGCTCTTCTCACAAGTGGCCCGGATTCAGCATCTCTGACCTTGAAGTAGTTGAGCCCTCCCAGGCTGGGACGGGGGAGGGGTCTTTCCATAGTGGGGAATGTAAGAAACTGCTAATCTCCAGGCCAGGTCAGGCCCTGAAGAAGGATGGAGTGGACTCAGCCCATTCCTGCCTTTTTGACACTTCCTGTTTGTCTGAAAGATGGTACCAGGTTCACGTGACTACACAGTGAGGTTCAGCCAGACAGCTGCCCTGTGCCTTGCACAGAGAACAATCAAAATATTGACTGCATGCAAACACCTTGGCAAATGCTGGACATTTGACCATTTTGGTCCCTGAAACAGCTCAAGATATAGACCCCAGTACAAGTTCTGTCTACATAGAATGAAGTTCAGGGGGGTCAGGTGTTCCACCCCAGCTGGGGGGTGATAGATACAGAGTCACTTGGTCCCTGCATTCCTGGAGTGGGCAGTTTGTGCACTGCTTGGCCTGGGAGCCTGACCAGGTGTGGAGGAGCAGTGTGCAGATTAAGAGGCCAGCCAGAGCCTGTGTGCTATAGCTGCTCTATAGCTGATGAAGAGTGGAGCAGACTCAGCCCATCCCTGCCTTCCTGATACTCCCTGTTGGTCTGGGAGATGGTACCAGATTGAGTCTCATCTGTCACAAGGGAGCACAGTGAATGCCCTCTCGTTGCCCTTCCCAAGGACACCAGGGTGTATAGAGCAGGGGGATGGGGAGGTCTTGGCTTGGTGCTTCAGCAGCCGCAGTCCCTTTCTCTTTCCCTCTAGGAAACATCTCTGACCCCTCCAAGAAGAGCTATGTGGTTCAGTGGCTGTCCCGACCAGACCCAGACTCACAGGTCCAGAAGACTTCGTCAAGTAACCGGCCCATTTATAACTCTGCTTCTGCCCTCCAGTGCATGCCCTGCACCTTCTGGAGCTTGCCATGGGCTCCCCTCCTCTCTTTCTATGGAAAACTCCCCTGACTCTTGCTGAGTGCTCTTAGTTGAATCTGTTTTCTCCTGGGCCTCTGTGCTCGACCATCTCCTTCAGTGCCGCCTGGTTACCTGCCTGGCCAGGAAGGCCAGCCTCACAGAGGCATGGCCCTGGCACTGGCCTCTTCTGGGGGTGCTGGGACCTGGTTGGTGATGGCTTGTAAAGGGTCAAAGATCTGTTATGGTGCTGAAAGGGCCAGAGGCCAAAGTTTGAATGTGGCCACTTGGTGACCACCTCGTGGAGCCACAGCTCTCCAAGCTGGAGCTTCAGGTTGGAAGTCAAAGGGAAGCCTGCCCGTTCCCTTTTAAATGCACCCACCATCGAGAGGCTGGGGTTCTCAAGGCCTGCAGTTTTGTGCTGCCATGCTGGGTGGCCTGGCCCTAAGGGTCCGGCATTGTATCGGGGGCTTCCCGGATGCCTCTTCCGCTGCTGCTGCTGCTGCTGCTGCTGACCCTCTGCTGAGTGTGTCCTCCTAACTCATGCAACTGTGGCCTGCTTCTTGTGGCCTTGGTGTCCAACTGACACAGCCCTCATCCCCATGTCCTGTCTCTTCAGGCAGGTTCAGGGCAAGTGGAGGAGGCCGGGTATGTGGACCTCCAGTGGGACATAGGGACACACCGCCACTCCCATTCTTTGTCCATTAGCTCCAATGGTCTTTTCTCATCTGTGCACATGATCCCACCCACAGAGGTGAGAGAGTGAGAGACTGATGTGGGTGCGGCCACCTGCCAGAGTGAACAACTACAGAATTACCTCAATTTTTATTGCTTTTTTGCTTAGACAAAACTATGTAGAAAATGCCTTAAAGTTGAAAGGTAACAGAATTAGCTGGTAATTTCAGCTTCAGAGGGGATCATGATTCAGGTAGCAGGCCAGCAGTGCAGGTCTAAGGGAAGACAGTCCAAGTTATCCACCTTTGGCCAGAGATAAGGTTTCAGGTGGCCTGGATCCCTGTGCCCCTTGGCCTATGCAGGGACCCTGGCGCTCTTAGGCTACCTGTGTGGGAAGGAGACCCACTGGCCATTGGGCGCTGACTATTGCTGGAGCCCTTGCGGGCACTCCCACAGCTCTGCCTTATTCCAGAGGGCACCATTCAAGTGACCAGCGTAGCACTCCCACTTGCTGTAACTCCCACTGCACACCCCAGTGCTGTCTACCTGTGAATAGCATCCCCACCATCACTACCAGCCCTCTTGGCACTAATTACTGTTATGTAAATACTTGGTGTGTAATGCATACTAATTCTCACGACTGTTAACTTTCAACTTTGACTAGGCCACGCAAGTGACACGAGTGACTCTGGGAAGGTGCAATATGCTCCTGGGCATTGTTCTCTCTGTCTATATGCACTTTGGTTTATCAGGGATATTTTATTAGTGTTTTGTATGTATTTATGACTTATTATACAGGTTCCATTGTCATTGCTCTTCTGGTTTTTTGTTTTTTATGAGACCACTTCAGTGTGTGCCAAAGTGACTGTGAAAATGACCTTTTATTCTTACTAACGCTGGAAAGACTTCCTGTCATGCAGTCCACAAATAAAGTCAATAAAAGTTCAGTGAAACTGGGTGCTTGGGTTCGGCACACTGTTGGCTGGCTCCTTCTCATCCTCTCTATGGCTGATGGCGCATAGAGCTGTGGATGCCCTTCTGCCCCATCAGTTCCTTGGGTTCTGATTCATGTGAATTTACTGCTCCCTTTCCCTTGCCGAGCACAGATGTTTAGGGTCCCTCTTCCACTGAGACATAGCTCCTCCCCTGTGAAGACACTCTGCTATGATTTTGAGTTCTGAATCATCAGTGCTAAACAAGTACCTCCAGGAACGTCTGTGTTCTCTCCTCTTTGTTGGTGCTCTTACAGTCAGGAAGGCGATCAGAGCCCATGGAGTGGAAACATGAAGTCAGTATCCAAGACAGTGCTGGTCCAGGTCACTATGCCCTGGGTCACCATCAAGCCATCATCCTGGCTCCTGGGTCAGTTCTCAGCTCTCTGTTCAGGAAAGAAGAGGTGCCCTTCTGGCCCAGGAGAGTCTGAGCCAGGAGAGGGGCAAGGCAGTGATGGCTCTGGGCAACTGGCCTGCAACATTCATGAGTGTATGTGCTCAGCCATGCCTGCCCATGTCTCCTGTGGCCTGCCCCAGAAGCCACAGTGCCTGTGTGTTCATTCACCTTGCTAACAAGGACGAAACAGAAGGTCAGGGTCCAACAGGGACCTCCTCATCTGGGGCCTGAGTGGTACCCTGCCAGTGGGGAGGTATCTCTCTTCTCCCTTTTCTACAAAGGGGTCGCACGTAGGGAGAAGGGAGACAGTGAAAAAGAAAGATAATGACATGGGCCACCGTGAGTCATGGATATGGGCTTCTGGGCAGTTCCAAGAACCAGGTATCAGTGTGCAGGGTAGAGGTCATAGTAGTTGTGGCCAAGTCCAGCCTTCCCAGAGCTCTGACCATTGAAAGGAATTCCAGCTCAAGAGAGACAAGGAGACCAAGACTACTTCTATCTGACAGAACTACGTCCACTCAGTTTCCTTTCTGGTCAGACTTGGAGAAACCCCACTACAGGGGCTCCGGGCAGCCCATAGTGCTGTGTGTTTGAGGACAGCCAAGGTGATGGAGGGTGTGACAGATGAGGGATGCCTCCCACTTTTTTAATTTTTACACAATCTTTTGAAAGGGGAAATGGTGCATTATGCTTGACCAAGAAAAGAAAATGAAGTTCTCTCTATCCCAGCCTTTTACCAAGAGTGGGGAATGAAGATGATTTAAGTTACTTGTAAAGGTGGCCCGAGTACCATGCAGCAGCCCTGTCCTCATTCTTGTTGTCCTTCATGACCACCTCAGGAGAAAGTCTCACTTGGCACAAGTTCTGGCCGGCATCTCTCTCACGTTTGCTCATTTCTCTCCGACTCAGGCAGTCAGGAGTATCTCCCCAGAATTTGTGGAATTAAAATTGGACTTACAAATTGACTTAAGAGGATGTAAAACTTTTCTTTGTATCTTGTTTAGGGTCACCTTATTTACCACACTACTTTTACATGAATGGTAGTATAAAATTTTCTTCTAAAATAAAATTTAAGTGCCCTGGCCAGTTTGGCTCAGCAGTCAGAGCATCGGCCCTTGGATCAAAAAGTCACGAGTTCAATTCCAGTCAAGGGCATGTATCTCAGTTGCGATTTGGTCCTTGGCCCTGGTCAGAGTCATGTGGGAGGCAACCAATCGATTGGTCTCTCTCGCATCAATGTGTCTCCCTCTCCCTCTCCCTCTCCCACTCCCCCTTCCTATCTGAAGATAAATGGGAAAATACCCTCAGGTGAGGAATAAATAAATAAATAAATAAATAAATAAATAAATAAATAAATAAATAAAATTTAAGTTAAAAATGTTTATTTGTTTATTTTAATCCTCACTTGATACTTTCCCATTGATTTTTAGATAGAGTGGGAGGGAGGAAGGGAGAGAGAGAGAAAGAGAGAAAAAGAGAGAGAGAGAGAAATCAATTGGGTTACTTCCTGCATGGCCCTGTGAGTATCAAAACTGCAACCGAGATATGTGACCAGAAATTGAACCCAAGACTCTTTGGTCCATAGGCCAATACTCTAACCTCTGAGCCAAACTGGCCAAGGCAAAAGGAATTAATTTAAAGGAGGAAACTACTAAGTAAATAATAACACAGGTGGTATTCAGATATAGTCAAGATTGTAGGAATGGCACAGAGATTACTTCAATTTATGGAAAATGGGATCACTCTCAATGGTTTGTTCACTGGAAGGCAATTGGTCTTGCCAGTGCCTTAGCTACTGGAAATGGCTGAAGATCAAGTGTTATGAAACTGATATTATTATCTTGGTAGAGATCCTGGGCCAGTCAGTGTCCTCAGTACATGTGTTCAGCCTTCAGTGTTATAATTTCATCTTCATCTCAGGGTTCTCTGCTAAGTGTTGCTACTAAAAAATATACAATCATTGGCATCTTTTCAAGAGTGCAGGTAATGATTATTTTTAAATTTAGGCCCAGCTCTTGGTCAGTAGTTTTCTCAATTATTTTTACTTCATTGACTTATTTTAATTTTTAAAAACTTAAAGCAATGCAGCCCACTATTAAAAGGAAATCAGACCAAGATGTCCAATACATGAGCCAGGTAGAAGGGAGGCACCCTGGAAGGTGAAGCCTGGCCCCCAGCTGTCACCAGCCTATTTGTGGCAGGGAGACGGACTGCTCATCCCAATTTGTCCATTTACTCAGCAACAGAAGCCAAGTGCTTTCTGTGTCAAGCTCTGATCCAGGCACTGGGGACACTGCCAAACACCTGACCAGAAGTCAGCAAAGCTTTCCTCTAAAGGGCCAGACAGTAAATATTTTAGGTGTCGGGGGGCGGGGGGGGGCATGTTGTCTCCCCAACAACTACTCAATCTGCCTTTGTATTGAGAATGCAACCATAGATAATAAATGGCATGCCTGTTCCAGTAAAACCTTGTTTACCAAATCAGGTTGAGGGACTGACTTGGCCTGAGATCATAGTTGGCCAGCCCTTGCTCTAGACTGATATGATGCCTGCTTCTCAGGATTCCAGCCTAGTGAAAGACAAGTAAGGGAAATGCTTAATACCAACCTTGTTATGAATGAAGGAAAAGGCTCAGGTGACAGGAGAGGGTGTTGCTTTGTGGCAGGAGTAGCCCCACTCCCAACTGTACTGCCAGGCCAGGCTCCATCTTTGTCCCATCCCTCTGCCCCTGCCCCAACCCCAGTTGACTATTAAAGCTTACACCTAGTCTTATCAAAAGTTCCCTTGGGTCTCCCTAAGGTCTGTGACCAACAGTTTTCACAGCTCAGAAAGGGGAAGTGGCCAGGGAGGGGGGAAGGAAGAAAGTGGGACTCTGAGCCCCTCCCACCCCGTCAGTTTCAAAGAAGGCTGCAGTGATTTCATCTGTCTCATATTTTGAGCATCTGTGTAAGATTTCATCTATCAGTTTTAAAACCCTGAAAGCCATATCTCTGGATCTTCCAGTTTGATTTCTGGAATCATCCCTTGGCCCTCAACCGCTTGTCTTCCTTTCTCCCTCCCACTGTGAGCCCATTGCTCAGTACCAAAGTTAGGAAGACCAGGGCTGATCTTAAATAGTCAATCTGTGTTTATCTCCACATTGTGGGTCCTGAAGCCAGTCATGCTTCCTCCCTATTCTGGCCACTTAGAAGCTCAGAGCCCAAATTAGTTCCACCTCTGGTGGTAAGTAGCTCTGTGTGTTCTTGCCTGTAACACTGCTATGGTAAAATGCATAAATTTCCTGTTTTGGATTTCCAATTTATATTGTTTACATTTGTACCTTTACGCATTCTTTCATTCACTGTTCTAGGCTCTGGGAATAGAGGGGGCATTCGACTATAGCTCAGGGCTCTGCCCTTTGGAGCTTTCAGGACAATGAACAAGTCATACATTAGTCACTTTATCTGACAATTAAATGTGAACTTGCCAACTTGGATGAAGTGCTGGGAGGGGAGACCCATGGCACCAGAAGACCACACACTCATGGGATTTAACCTCCTAAGAGAGGTTAAGTGATGCTTGTCTGAGGAAGATGTGTTTCAGTTGAGCCTAGAGGATGAGAAGAGAGCAGCTGGAGCAGAAGTGAGGCACAGTATGTGCAAAGGCTGTATGGCCAGAAGGAGCACCAAACAGAGCAGGAGGTCTGAGGCCTGAGTGAGGCCAAAGAGGTGATGGGCACAGGTCTTCACTCAGAAAACAATGAGTAGCAATGTAGGGGCTTCACTCAGGACACTGACATGGTCATATCTCCAGTTGAAAAACATTCTGATTGTAGATATGCAGACATAAAGGAAGCTCTTACCATGGTGCAGCCATGGTGTGTGGAGGTGAGAGAGAAGGGAGTGTGGACATATCCAAGAGGGTGTAGGAGGAAATACTGATGGACTTGGAGATGATTGGATGTGGTGTACACCTGAAAGGCCATTCTCTGAGGCAGATAGTACTAGCAGAGACCATGGGCTTGGGCTGGATGTGTGGGTTCTCATGCAGCTTAGGGACTGTTGGGGTTAGGGGATGTCTAGTAGGAAGTTGTATCCATGAATCTAAACCTTGGGGAATTCGGGTTGGTGTCCAACTAATTGGTCACCAGCCTGTAGGGAAAATTACATGTTGAAGCAGTGGTAGCAGGTGAATGTCAGAACCATGGGTCCTGAATGGAGGGACCCACCTGTCTGCTATGGCAGGAAGATTTCACGGGCTAACATAGCTTCAGGTGTGGATACAGGTAGTGCTGTATGTTGGTACACAGAGTGAATCTGCAGGTGTGGTTTCCATTTATGGCTGCCATTTCTCCCCTCTTTTCTCCCTTTCCATAGGAGATGTGGTTGACTAAGGAGATTGAGGGGAAGGGAGGTCACAGCAGAGGTTTGTATGGGAAAGTTTAGGATCCTTACTATGAAGAGCAGTGTCTGAGCAGAGAAACAAAGTAGACAGAGTTGGACCCATTGAGGTTAGTGATCAGGAATTCGTAAGATCAAATACCTCTGTGATATGACTCATTCTTTCATATTGAATGAATTTTTGTAAATCATGTCAATTTTTGTGTTGAATGTGGAATGAAGTGGTGGAGAAAGGGGAAGAGGAATGGGAATTTGGGAAGAACACAGAGAGTGAGGAGGGAGTGAGAACAAGAGGAGTTGGATGGGTTGACTCAGTGTAGCTGCAGAGTTGGAACTAGGCTAGGGAGGAGGCAGCCATATGGGGAAAGAGAGACAACGTGGCCTCCATGGAGTCAGGTTCTCTATGAAGCGAAATTGTGGATGACCAGTGTCCTGGGCAGAAAGGAAAAGTAAGGATGTACTGGGCAGAAAGATTTGCCAATATGAAAGCATCAAGTTATGGAGCAGTTTGCTTGGGAAATGGCGCGAAGCTCAGTGCAGCAGGTGCCAGGGGGAGGGCGGTACATGGAGCAGTACACAAGGCTCTTGGGTACATTGAAGCAAGTAGAAGAAAGCCCACACAAGTCTGGGTAATTTTTAACTTCCCTTTAGGCACTTTTCAGAAACAAAGATCATCTGGGGAGTTTGGTGAGAATGGGAACAAATTGAGAAGTGTGGCAAGGCCACAGCCACGACTCTGGGGTTTGCTCTATCAGGTTTTAGGGACTGGTTTTAGGTTTAATTTTGTTATAGTTAATGATTATAGATTATTTTAGAGTCAAACTTTACCACCCAATTTCATTGGGGTTACCACGGGGATAGCAAAGTCCTGTTCTTTAAAATGAGCTTGAAATAACTCCCTAAGAACAGACAGGCCTCACTTCTGTCTCAAACTCTGAGGGACAGTGAAAAATCTAGACTCAGCTGGGGCCTTCTTGGAGGAGGATCACATTGCTCACAACTTGTGTGGCTGTATTCCAGGGCAGGAGTCCAGTGCTCCTATAATATGGAAACCACAGACTTTCTGTGTGAGCTCGCTTGCCTCTGCACTGTCTTTGAGCTCTTTCAAATGCCACCTGCAGCAAGCTGCTCCCTGTGGGGTCACAAAGTTTCTCTTATCTTGTCCTTTGGTTATTTGTCCCACTTTTCTCTTTCAGAGGGCCGCTGCCAAGGCGACAAGTCAATGTTCTGTAGAATGGAAGTCTTGTCTCGCTATTGCTCCATTCCAGGCTACAATAAGCTGTGCTGCAAGTCCTGTAACCTGAATGACAACCTCACTAACATGGATGACAGGGCAAAGCCACTGCCTGGGAAGCATAATGACATTGAAGAGCTCATGCCCACCCTCCCAGTCCCCACTCTAGTCATGGAGGAGCAGCCTCTGCCAGGTACACCCCTGGAGGTGCCTCTCAATGCCTCCAGCACCAGTGCTACTAATAATCACCCAGAAACCAATGCTGTTGATATGCCCTACAAAATCAATGGCCTGGACAATGAAGTCCAGCCACCCAACCTAATCCCTCGACGGCCGAGCCCATATGAGAAGACCAGAAACCAAAGAATCCAAGAGCTCATTGATGAGATGAGGAAGAAAGAGATGCTCGGATAGTTCTAATAAAATGGAAAGGTAGCATCAATAGCATTTTTTTTTTTCTTGCTTATAGAAATATTACATGGGATGGCAAATCCTGTGAAGTGGAGATAAAGTCAAAATTCCTGAGTCCAAAAAGTTTTTGAGGAAACAAAGGGAGAATGGCATAAAAACTGTGTGTGTGTGCATGTGTGTGCGTGTGTGTGTGCGTGTGTGGTTGTGAACATGTGGCAACAAGGAGAACACTTGGGTGTCCCAGCCCCAGAATATTCTAAGTCCTGAACTGGGGTTGGGTATAGGGTAGAGAGGAATATGGCAGTTCTATTGTCTTTATCAGTGAGGGAGGGCAGGAGGACTAACTCGAAGAAAGAAAACATTTACCTCAAGTTTCTGAGCACTAACTGGGGATCTTCTTTTCCTCAGTGGTGATAACCATTCTGGAAACACAGGGCATTTCCTTCTAATCCTCAGGCCTAGACACAAACCCCATGGGGACTCTCAGAAGAAATGGTGATTTATTTACTAACTGACCAGTCACTAAGATGAGCACATTGAAGTAAAGGCTGTGAACCCCAGTGTCTTCAATGGCAAGGCAGGTGGTGAGGATGAATGTGGTAGCCAGCTGGGGACAGGAACCAACCTGAGAACCAATGAGTCAGTCAGCTTCAGCATTGCTACCTCTGTAAAAACTGGGCCCTGCTGCCAGATAGCATGCTTTTTCACTAGCATTTGATTTTTGTGTGAAAATTCTCAGTCTTTAAAGATCAGCTCAAAATCTTTTAAGAAGATCTGGGAGTCTGTTAGGGTCTAGAGCCGCCAGGCTGAAGTCTCTGGTCTTGAGGCTTGGCCTGATACAACCTTGCCAATTAAGGACTTAGTAGAAGCCATCTGACCCATTTGGTGCTAACCAGCTGTGCTTGAATATCTCAGTATGTCTGAGCTGTGAAGTTGCCCATTTCTTCCCGGGAAAGTACCAGGAATCCTATAACTGGGTCTTGAAGATTGATCTAAATAGTAGGTCACATTTTCTGTGGGAGGAGAAGCCAGTGCAGTGCTCTCCCAAGTCTCTCTTCTCTCCATGATCCCTGTCCTTGCTTGTCCCCTCTGACCAGCCTGGCCTCAGCCCTACAGCTCCCCAGAGAGTCTCTTTCCTTACCTAAGTGCATGGGAAGGATGAGAGACATGTGCTGTACTGGGAAGTCCAGTGAGTGGTCAAGGCCCTGACTTTCCCAGAGGGGTGAGAGTGCTGCCAACCAGGGTGGTCATGCCCAAGGGAACTATGATGGGGCTTTGTGGGCTTGGGTTTCCTTCTGAACACCAGCCTCACTTGTGAGAGATAGGCTTGCCCTATGGAGCCTCCCAATGCCCAGCCCTGTCCCCTTTCATCCCTTAGAAGTTTCAGCAGGGAACCGCAAGATTTGTCCTCTGATGGGAAGCATTGGGCAGGAGGTGGGGAGAGCCTGCTTTATCTTTTGCTCATTCCAAACAGTAACAATTTCTACTTTTAGCAGAATGGTGCTTTGTGAGCAAGGTGTGAATGAGATAGAAATAAGGGAATGGGTGGAGGTGAATGGGAGAACAATGGTTAATTTTGACTTCTCCCTGCATTGATATTAACATGCATTAATATTAAATTTCCCCAAATTATAAGACCTGGGGGCACATTAGCTCCTTAGTTGGACCCACCTTGACACATAATTCTTAGGCTTTTCACATCCACAAAAGTTCTAGAGCTGTTTTATTCTTGCCAGTCATAGATCTTGAGAAATCTTTCTTGTTTAAGTCCCCATTATAAGGACATAAATATTGAGGTTCCAGATAACACCATGACAACTACTTTATATTGAGTTTTGAGGTGCTAAGTCTGTGTAAATCTGTGCATGTGTGTGGGAGTGTCTGTGTGTATAGTCTAAGGGACAATGAATGGGTGTAGGACATAGTGAGAACAATATCTGGGATGATGCTTAACCATCCAGCTGGGTGACGCTTAGCCTTCACATCCCCTGGCACAGCCTGCCCCCTTCCTCTGCCACCATGTCCCATGCATACTCATATACATTCCAGTATCTAAAGGAGTTTGCTGATCCCTAAGAACAAAACTGGAGAAAACATTTTGAACATCTCTCACAGTATCACTTCTTCTTTAGTAGGATATGGCATAAAGTACTTTTGTAATTCTTTTCATATAATTAGGAAATGGGTCCCCCTTCTTTCTCTCATTGGTAGAACCCCTGGAGCTGGTATGATTCATGGCCTTAAAGACTGGGCAGTTCTTGCATGGGTCTCTCCTAGAATGCAAAGGAAGTTTCCGGTGACTAACCCTGGCCAGGGAGTACTACTCAACTTACTCATCCTGGGGGCCTCAAAATGGAAACACTCCACTCCCAGATCCTGGCAAAGCAGGGCTGCATATCTTGGGGCTAGAAGTATTTGGAGAGAGGCTCCAGGTGGGACATTGCCAGGGTATCTGTCTTGCTAGAGAGGGAGAGATGTTCTCTGGAAGCTGTAGGGCAGCATGGCTGTTGCCTCACATGCCATACTCAGTGCCTTGGACCATATATCCAGAGCTCTCCAGAACTAGACAGCACTCAAAGGTCTCTCTGTCCAAGAAACTCAGTGTTCACCCATCTATGAGAAATCTCCACTGAGCTTGGGACAATTTGAGAGCAGACTTAGCAACAGTCCTGAGCTTCCAGAACCAGTGTCCATCCATGTGTTCAGAGCTCTTAGGGAAGGCCAAACAGCTATTCTAGCTGAGGTTTCTTAACACAGTGCGATTCAGATGCCCTCTGTCCATGGTTATAAAAAAATCAGATGAAGGACCTGAGGGTCACTTGATGTTCACAGGGAGACTTGTACTAGTTTTGGGACCTGGCTCTCTGATATACTGCTCTTGAAAACCCCATGGAATTTCACATTTAAGCATTTCATTTGTATTTTAAGGGTTTTTGCTTGTTTGTTTCTTTGTTTGGAGTATATAAATGGTGCTAAATAGGGAAGCCTATCAGATGACTGTGTACTCCTGTGTGATAGGCAGCCACCACAAAAATCATCATGGTGCTGAACTCCAATCACATTTTATCTTACTGATCACAGCAAGCAATACATTTTTTTTTTTCTGTATAGTAAAATTTGGTTCTTTGATTTTATAATTTATTAAAGTCAAAATGTCTGTGTTTGTGCACATCGTGTTTGCGTTTGTTTCTTACCTTGACGGCACTTATCCCCATTCCCAGCTTGAATTTGAGCAAATGGAAGGATGTGTTGCCCCAAGAAGCCAAGGGGGTAAGAAGGGAACCAGCAGTCAGTGAGCCAGGACTCTGTTAAAGGCAAGAGGCACCCAAAGAGACCCACCCTTCTCCCAGCTGTCCAAGGAGTCTGCTTTCCAGGTGACATGACTAAACCCATAGCTCCCAAGGAAACCTTTAGTTCAGAGAGGAAATGAAAACACCCCCTCCTCCCTGATTATATCTCCTTCTCGACTATAGTTAAGGCCTCCAGGAAAAATATTAGATGTTGAGTTAAACTTGAATTTCAGAGAAATAACAAATAATGTTTTAGTATAAGAATGTTCCTTTTTTTTTTTTTTTTTAATCCTCACCCAAGGATATTTTTCCAGTTATTTATTTATTTATTTATTCATTCATTCATTCATTCATTTATTTTAGAAAGAGAGAGTGGAAAGAAAGGAGGGAGGGAGAGAGAAACATCAATGTGAGAGAGACACATCGATTGGTTGCCTCCCACGTGACCCCAACCAGGTCTGGGGATTAAATCTGCAACCCACGTACATGCCTTTGGCTGGAATTGAACCCAGAACTCTTTGGTCCCCAGGCCGATGCTCTAACTGCTAAGCCAAACCAGCCAGGGCAATTATGTTCCATTTTTATACTATATGTTTTTTGTTGTTTCTCTGAAATTCAAATTTAACCGATAATCCTGTATTTTTATTTCCTAAATTTGGTAACCCAACCTCTAAAAGACAAGTCCATTAGTTCTGGCCCTCTTTGATACTAACAGGGGTTGAGGAGAAGGAAAACTGAAGGGTGGAGAAGGAGATTCCTCTCGATACCCCAGCCAAGGAGGAGCCCAACGACATGTACCAGTGCTGGAGGAAGGGATCAGAAATCATACTAGTTTGGACGGTATGGCAGATGGCTTTGGAATGCCCAGGATTTCTCGTTTTGTTCATTGTTAATTTGTTTGAACTCTGTTTTCATAGTACAGTTAGTCCTTTATAGTATGGAAGAGGAAGTCTGTGTATGGAGTCAGGATGGAAGGTCAGTTGAGTAAGCAGAACTTAATATTTGCAAAGGTTATTTATAACCAGATAGCCCAGAGTTCTTTTAGAAAACAATCTGGGTTACATTAGGGACTGGTAAGGAAGACCCCATCTGTGTTTTCTGAAGATGAGGACAGATAGTTAAGAGGAGCTAAATGATGTGATTGCAGAGGTTCTGGCCACCCCCTCCTCCGCACACTGTAAGTTCCTGACTCCCAGGCACAGAGAAGCCATACCATGGTCATATCCACACCTCTTTATACCCAGCCTTACAGGCCATGTGGCCAATACAGTACCCTCTATACCTCATGCCCCCACACAATTGTTTCTTCACTCTTGTGATATTACTCATAATCCATACTCCCAAAATTTTATATGCCAACATTTGTATGCACACCCTAAATTATGCATGCCCAGACAGTCTTTGCTTACCTCCTAAACTCTCCTATGTATGAGCTTTCCCATCCACATGACCAAGTGGAGACTGGAGAGGCCAGGTCCAGGAAGTGCTGGCATGTCAGAGTGAGACTTCCATACTGTTCCCTGTTCCCTGTCCCCAAATGGTCCAACCTCAAATACACATAAAAATACACAACACATAAAAATACACAAGGCAGGGTATGACTGCCCCACGGTGCACAAAAGTTACCAGTGTTTTAGTTCAACTAAAATTCTTCTAGTGTCTTAAATGAACATTTATATCACTGATTTTCAACATTTCTTTTCAATTCTATAT